AAGCAAAAACAGGCAACGAACAAACTAAACTTTGGCGAACAAGTTGCAAAGTTACGCCTATGCCAGATGCTGCCAATGTTGCCAATATGCTCCGGTTCGAAGTGGCAAAAACAGGCAGCAAAGCACACTAAACCACATTCACATCCCATCCGTTGCCCATGCAACGTGATCCCAATCTTGCAGCCACATTCTCATTCTCAATCTCGAGCTATGCAAAATAGCAACAAGCGTGTTGTGAACGCGGAAATTGAATCCAAAAACTGTTTTGGCCTTGTTGTACGTATTTGCTTGCCTGCTAACAAAAATACAAAAATACTCTTGCAGTAAAGTTGAGAAAAACATCAGCTAGGCAAATGTAAAAACTGCTTGGGTGCTTTGTTAAAGTTTCCAATAACAGTTTTTGGGGGCGTGTTCAGAAAAAGATTGATATTTTGTGCGGCCTGTCGGGCATGTGGAGCATCTTCCAGCTCATCTCGAATGCTATCAAATTAAATCTGTCCAACTGCAAAGTAACCTCATTAGGATTTCGTTCCAAAAACTTTCAATCATTTCTTTGCCTGTTTCATTATAATATCTCGCAGTGCTCTGCTGGACTAATTTTATTTCCTAAAATATTTTAAGAATTTTGTTTTTACCTTGTACAACTAACCAGTTTCCAGTTTCCCTCAAGGCATTCTCCTTTACTCTGTATATAAATTTTATTTAGCATTTTTTGCAATTGCAACATGGCTAAAAAATTCGTTTGTACTTTCATGTATTGCTCTTGCCACTAATAAAAACAACAAATAACAATGTTCCAGTTAGCAGTGCCTGACGAGTAGATACCCTGTACCAGTGACTAAGTAAAAGTACTGTGACCAAAAAATAGAATATCTGAGTCAATATATATGTATATATTATTTTGTTTATTCTTTTACACATTTGTTAGAAACCTTTTTGTTTATTCTTGAAGTGTATGGTATGCAAAATATACCCACGAGCTCTTTGGTTTATTTTCGATTTAAGTTCTGAATATAGCATTTCATAATGATTAAGAAAAATGTATAAGGGAGACTTCAAAGCGTATATTTTCCACGACCTTAAATGAAAACAAAGCATATGTAATCTATCGCAACATTTCCATGTGGCTACAAAAAGCCACATGATTAATTTTCCATGTACTTTGACAAAGGTAAATAATACTTTGTACATTTATAGTATGTTTTCTAATTATAAATATTTTTTTTTTTAGAAATTAATTGCTCCCACAATCGCAATTTGATATTTAACAAATGTATTAATAGAATTTGTTTGTGCTGCTCATTTTAAAATTGTTTACATGAAACAATACAAAAATAACAACGTAAATTCACTGCATATAATGAGCTTAAATTTAGAATATAATTGAATAAATTAACCGCAAAATGTCTCTTTGGAATATCGGAAATGCTGTTTAATTAAAATATACTAAGAAATATTGAGATGCCAAAGTTCACAAAACAATGGCACATTTGTAGACTAGTGTAAGCTGTTGTAAGTTTGAAATTAAAATTTAAATATTATTGTACGACAGTCAACTGTTTCAATTCCCACTCAGAATTGATCAGCTTTTAATTAGACCCGAGCCAGTTTAAGGTTTTTGGCCTTGGCACGTGCCCGTCTGACATACGCCTAAGAGCATTTCTTAATTTGATTTCAATGCCCGTATCAAACGATTTTATAACATTGCCTTTTCTTGACCTACGATTAAAGTTTCTTATGGATATGATGCCACCTTATGATGAGTTGGCTCAAACACTTACAGCATGCATAACTTGTGCACGTTTCTGGCATTTGGGGAATATGATATGAAAATGGCTTGTCTAATCTCCGAAATGTCTCCAAGGCATCGCATTAAGTGAAAAGGGTTAAGCCATTGAGAACTCTGCATATACATTGACAAACTTATTGTTGGACACTTCCAGAATAAAATGCCTAGCAGCCATGGCCCCACTCCGGTGCTGTCCTTGGATGTGGGGTTGGACACCACCAGACATCCCGGTCGGTCAGTCCGACAGCCTGCATGGACCCTAAATTGTCATAAGAATTATGGCACATTGACAGAATGACACGTGCCCAAGAATTTCTTCATTTGTTTCACACTTTGCAAATGGAATTTGCGTATGAAATTACATTTTTGTTTCCAATTTGAATTTTTGGCTCCTTGACATATTCAATCAATATTCTGTGGGCGATAGTTTGATTAATATTTATCTTTAAATTATTGTAAAGATTCTATTTGTCCACAAGGTTTTGGTCAAAATGCTTATACTATTTATTGATTGGTCAGTCAGAGGTTAAATGTATTTAACTTATTCGTCAAATCAATGAAAAGACATTTATTTATTGCATCGTTTTAATTTTTGTTTGCTGAATATCTATAAACATTGATATTCATTTAATTGTTTTAGTTGTGGGACACATTTTTACTATTTATTTGAAACTTTGATCCATAGTGTTTTAGTCTGGTTATTTACATGAAGGCTGAAAGAAGAAAAGAGTGAACAAAATAGGAATTTATATGTCTGCAGCTTTAAGCTCATCTGAAAATCATTGAAAAATTCAATTGGGCGGAAAACAAGCTCAACTATACTTGTGAGGTCAATGGTCCTGGGTTCCAGTTATCTCCTGGCCGAGCACTTGTGATTATAGTGGGCTTTCTTGTTGTATATCGGTTGTGTGACATTCCGTTCTGCAGCTGCATATATTTTGTCATGGATAGAAATTTGTTATAAATTAATTGGAACAGTAACAAGCGACGGGCTAAATCAGATGACGACGAGTCTCAGACAGACCGACGCAGACAGTGGAACGTGCAGCAAATGAGGCGAAATCGTGGCATACTTTTTGGAGTTCGCCGCTGGTTTGTTGGCAAAAGTTGCTCAGCTTGTGTGTACGTGTGTGTGTGTGTGTGTGTGTATGTGTGTGTGTGTGTATGTGTGTGTGTGTGTGTGTTTGCAAATACTTAAAGGCATGAGAAACCATGTCAATGACATTTGACACGTGACCCTTTTTGAAACACATACACAGCGAAGGCAACCATATAGCCATATAACCATAAACATTTAGACGGAGCAGCGCAGCAAGCTCAAAAAATTGGCTTTGTTGTAACTGCTGCTCGCTAGTTGAGGTCGTTCCGACGTGATTAGATGCGATTGTGTGCGCAATTGAGCGAAATTGATGACAATGCTATTAAAAGGTATGTGGTACAGGCAGACCCGCTGCATTGCTTTCAGTTAACATTCCCATCGCCATCGCCATCGCCATCGTCATCGCCATCGCTATTGCCATCGTCGCCGTTCATAATTAATTTTCTAGTGAATTTATTTTCATGGCATTTCGGTTAGCTAAGTGCGGACAAGGGTAGCCAGGGGGAGGCGAACAACAGCCAACCAACCCCAAATTACTGAAACAGACCCCACCCCCCACCCACACACTGCTTCCTCTGCTGCCCTAGTAGCTGCTGTGGACGCATAAAAGTTGCTTCAGCTGCGGCATTTATTTTAATTTGAAAACTATTTCCACGCCCTCCACGTCCATCTTTTGCAGCTCCTCCTTCTTCGTCTGCGTTTTATATGGCCGTGCTTATGCTCATTATTTTCGCATGACTTTTGTTGGATTTTTATTACATAAGTCGGCCGCATTGCGTATACGCAGCTTTATACAGATGCCGCCATTTTCATAATAATTTGTATATGGCGTGCCATATTACTTAACGTGAATTTATCAAAAGAGTTGCGGTAGAAAAAAATCTGCTATAAATATTAGCACAGTCCGCTTTTTGGCTTAATGGCAACATAATTGTAGGGCGTGAGCGTACTCCCCTCACTCAGAAATATAAAAACGAATATACAAATCTAAAACACCCTACAAACTAATCATATTGTGTACACACAGTCGGCATATAATTAGTTTCAACATTGAAGAAATTACGATACTTCTATGTGACGAAGATGAATGAATATTTGACAACAAATTTGTATGTGCAGATTATCACTTTGTTTGTATAACTCTTAAAATACTTACGAATTACAACGGCGAAATCATATCCCATGAAAAAACAAAGTTTGCAAGTCTAATTTCAATTTCCTTCCAACACTTTTAAAACATTTTTTTTACTGCTCTGGTTACGACGCACAAACTTTTTTCACAATCCAAACAGTTTTAAATGTGTTCGCCGAAGTTACTAACATGAACGCATACCGACAAACATCGATTTACCTTAGTCTCGCACAATATCAAAAAGTTTGTTATGTTTATGTTTGCTTTCAGTTTATGTATGATATTCTTTGTGCAGGGTATTTTACAGTCCTATGATTTCGACTACAGCCTTCCGTTTGATATATATTTGTGCGGCTTATTGGGCGCCCACTGTAGTTAATGGCCCTTACTTTAAAACCTCTACTTGGGGTTTGGGGTACCAGTAATGAACCCACAATATCCTATGTGCCATGTATACTAAAACAAAGTATGAAAATACATATCTAAATACTTAACGTAGTTAAGCTGGCAAATTATTTGCACGAAAATATTTTTAGCTCTGGGCTAGGTAACTTCCGGCCAGACTTGGTGCTGCTCGCAACTTGGCAGTTTTCGGCTTGCCAACTGGCTATTGGCAGTTGGCAGTTGGCAGTTGGCAGTTGGCAGTTGGCGTGTGTGGAGCCCATTTCGCTTTAGCTACATAGTAATCCACAAAAAAAAAAGGGGCAGGTTGAAAGGTGAGCAACTCCTCTTGTGGGTGCAAAATATTTGCGTTCTGTTATGTTTGCGCCCGAAAACAGGCGATGGCAATTACCTTTGATTGGACACTTAAGTTGTTCGTTTTGTTTTATTGAAACGTGATTTATGGATACTTGCATTGGCGCAAGGTCAAAGTAATTTAAATAGCACTACCAATTTTGAAATGCAAAGGCTACAAACAAAGTGTATATTATTTGAAGAAGTCGGTCTTAATCAGAGGATATTTGAGAAGAAATTATATTCTATATATCCAGGACTGTGTTCTTGGAACTGTCTTCTTTATTGGCTGAATTTGGATTTGGCTCTGATGATTGCTGTGCCACCCTTGCCTCAAAGAAACGTTTCACATTGCTAACAGCCTCCTTGGAAACATTGTCGGATTCTAGTGGAGTAACGCTTTCCACCAGAGATTGATTCAGTTCAATGGCATTTGAAGTACTCTCCTGCAGTATCGCTGCGTAGGTAAATAGAAACTGACAGAAACTCAACTTTGGCGAGTGCGGCCCAGCGATTTCCGCCATTAGTTGTTTTGCTGATAAATGAGTCTGTGGCACAGATAGCTTCTCCAGAGCCATCTTGAGCTCGGACAGCTCAATAAAATTGTCTCCATTTACATCGAACTGCCGAAAGGTATCAAACGCTTCACGAATCTCCTGGGGCTCAAGGAAGCGTCGCTGACAGTTGCTTGCCCCGCCTGGCATGTTTTCTTCCTCGCTGCTGTCCGTGAGTTGCAGAGACCGGCTCTCCATTACGACGCACATCGATAGACTTCGGGCTATTTCCGTTAATTCTTCTTCACTGACGTGCATGCTCACATCTAGCTTTGATGTATAATTTTCTACCTTCGCTTCCAAGTCATTTATATTCCTGTCTAATTTCGACATCGACTCACTTTCTAAGCGGTTCTTCCATGCCCTACATATGGTTCTGAACGATTCGCATGAGGTTAATGATGAGGCGGCGGATATATCCGATACATTTAACGGGGAATTGCACGGACTGAGTGGCTTCTCCAAGCATCTATCACCGATTCCATACGTATCAGTTGATGGCATGATGTCGGTCGTGACGGTCGAGGTAGGAATTTCAGACATTGTCTGCACCGAAATCGTTTACACAATCAAAATTTAACTACAAGATTATTCCAAAAGTCTTTATTTTCTTTTTTCAAAACGACTACAAGATTTGTTCTGTTCTGTGCAAAGTTCAAGTAATGAATTTGTTTTGTAGTAGAAAATATTTTTGAAGTAAGCCATGGAAAGAGCCTATTGAGTATTGGCCTACTACGTTTTTTCTTGATAAACTTTTAGCCCTGTATTGCTTAAATGCGTAATCTTCGTGGACTATACGAGCTGGAAACACATCATTTTGCAAAATATATTTCCCAAATTCGAAATTTCTAATTTTTCCTATATATACGTTAAATTAATACTGAAAGTACCGCTTTTAAAATGTTGGTACACGTTTGGCTACTGATTAATGCAAATAAATTAAATTCAAAAAATATTTTCATTTGTACAAGTATTTATTTTGTGGAATGTTGACTAATTTTGTTCGATTTAAAACAGAATTACAGAGTTTAATAATTTATATAGACAGTTATACAAATGTTTTCTTGATGGTACAAATAATTTTGTTTGTCTTACTTCATGAATGGGCTTTTCATGCTCACATATTTGGGCTACTTGCATCAATTCGATTGTGGAATTCTTATTTGCAATAATGGATCCAATTAATTAGTGACCTTTTGTCTTAGAACAATTGCCAAACTTTCCAACTACAACTAATTTGATTGTGGCTGAGGCCGTGGAGTGTGTGCTTTTGGCTGCTGTCTCAGATTTCATTTGATACTGAATTCCCAAACATCGCTTCGAAATCCTTGATGTTCCTATTTAGATTCTTCGTCGAATCGCTTTTCAAACGACTCTTCAATGCTTTAGATATGGTTTCGAAAGATTCGCATGAGTCGAAAGACGGAATGATGAATATATCCGATAAGTGCTCGGAAGTGAGCGACTTCTCCAAACCGTCAATTGCCGGCACTTTATCAGGATTAGCGGTCGAGTTGGAAATATCAGACATTGTTTATTAATGTTTCCAACTTAAATTTCAATGACTTGCGTAATTTTTTCTCAGAAAAAAAAAACAAATAAAAGATTCGATATGTCTGTGTAAAGTTCTAGAAATATATCTTTAGTTTCCGGTATATAGTAAGTAATGTCATAATATCAAAAATTGAATGGCCTGTTATGTTTTCACATAGTCGAAAATTCAACAATACTTTGGGCGACGAAACTACGAAAATGCATTTATATATGTATTATTATAATAATATTTTATGCTATCAAAATAAACATTTGGACATTTATTTGGTCTCCTAATTACCGAATCATTAAATATTCAAATTAATTTAAATACCTTTTCTTATTTACTACATATTTGTGGGCTGCTTTCAAACTGCCTGAAGTCGAGATTGTGATTTGCTTTTCGATAGAGACGCAGTTGAATTTATGGTACTAACTAGTTTGTGTTTTTTTCTGAACAGGATTTGCAGTTTATATTTGCGTAAGCCTTATTTATTTTTTTTGTTGGTCATGTTGTGCCGCAACGTCAGCTAATTTCCCTTAACGCCCTTAAGCACGTATCCGAGTCAATCCGAGGATACCATTGCTCCAGTTCTCGAACTCTCCAACCGCAAATTAATGACTGTGGAGTGTGTGCTCGTTGGCGCGTTATGTTTTTGTTTTTTTGTTTTTTGTTTGTTTTTTGTTTTTTGGGACTGTTAACATGCCATGGCCATAAACAGTTAATTAAGCTTTTATTGGTTACTCTCTTTTTTGCGCTCTGACATTTCACGTTTTATTTGTCAAACAGGAGCACAAAAAAGTGAGGACCATAAACGGTCAGTCGCCCAAGCGACCTGCCCATCAACCAAATGCCAACCAAGCCGCTCGCTTATTTGTCTCGTGCCGCAAGGTAGGCAACATTATTTGCACACCGACAACGCTCCACCCGTTCACCCACCACCCATCCATCCCAGCCATGCCATGCTCCTGCCAGTCGTCCTCATCTGTATATTTTGGGGCTACTGAGTGGAGCTCACGCCTCTCGCATTTTGTACCGCAGTTTATTTATTCGCTCATTTCGTGTGCAAAAATATTTGGTGATAACGAGCCAACGGCCCACAGCGGATTGTCATGTTTAAACCACATTTATTTGTTGGCTCCGTGGTAACAGTAAAAAAAAACATTCTGTATTTTATATATATATATTTATATATATATTTGTTTTTTTATGCAAGTACATTTTTGTAGGTTAGTCAACGCGGCAGCCCAAAAAAAAATGTCAGCAAAAAGTTGGCGGCATCGGCATTTAATTTACATTGCAAAGTTTCGTTTCGCATTGTGAGAGTATTCAGATAATAAAATGCAGAGAACTGTAACTGTAACTGAAACTGAAACTGGAACTGGGACTGGAACTGGGTTAAGCAGAAGTGGATAACAAAATAACAGCTATAACTGCGACAAACAACCAGACAAAGCCCAAACACAACGCAAAATTTCGATAAGATAAAAAGAAGACCAACAACTCAGCCGGCGAAAAGAGCTGCAAAAGTTGGCCAGGCCCGTAATCAGGATACCATTTCAGCACGCAGAGATACAGATTACAAACAAATGTGTTCCCAAAATCAATTTGTGCTGATTTTTTCACGATAACTGAAAGTATCACTCTCCCAAGATGGGTACTTATAATCTCATATCTGAAAGTGGGCATTTGAAAGCTTTTCTTATGAATAGATCGATAGGGTCGTTGACTTTAGGTATTTTTGAAAATATTTTCGTGGAAACTGGCGACTGTTACAAGTGCATATTTTTTAATTAACGGCCAGTTTTTTATATAAAAATTATCAATTTCATTCCCTTTAAAGAAAATTACTTGGCAGTCGAGGCAAGAGCCTACTGTTTGTGTCGCCTGCAACTTTTCGTTTGGGCCAAAAGTGTCAAAACAACTGGCAGCTTTAGTTTACAGCCATAATGTGTTGGCTTCTGCAGAGTCTGTGGGTGCCCAAGGGGGTGTATAGGTTTGAGAGAAAGAAAGTGTAAGTAGTTCTCTATTATGTTAGGAGGGACTGGCTTGTAGCTGGTAGCTGGCACAATTGGCTAGCAGCCAGTCAGCCTTTGAAAAGTGGCGTTTCTTGAATGAACTTTATAAAAGACTGTAACTGCAGTTGCAACGCCAACTGAAACTGAAATTGAAATTGAATGGCAAGCTGACGCCTACGAAAACTTGTCGCATAAATTGCCGCGGGCGTATTGCTGGACAAATAAACAACGACAGTGTCCAAAGCACTGTGATCATAATTAATGATACGTATGATTAAGGGCGGGGAGGAGCAAAGAAACCTTTTATAGCCTTACGTTTTCCAGTTCTTTTTGTTAGCACAATAAATCTCAATATAACTCAAGTGGACGTTACAGTCTAAACTTTGACATTTGATGGAAGGATTTGCCTGTTGACCCCAAGCACACACACACACACACATACCCAGAAAAAGTCTGCAGCCATCGTTTGTCATGCTGCACGTAAGCTCAATAATTTTTTTCCCTTAGTTTAAAAATGAGGCAACAGAATGGACGTGCTGAAGGTCCGAGCCAAAGGCTTGGTCAACGCTTAACTATACATATATATATGTATATGTATATATGTATAGATGTATGTATATATGTATATGTATATGTATATATATTATTTCGCAGACCCAAATTGATTACTTAAAATATTTCTAGCGACTGCCCTCGGTTAACTACCTCATACCCTCATACCCTTTGTCTCGCTTTTGGTCGCATTTCTTGCCTTTGGCTCATTGTGCGGCGGCCCTTAGGGTTTCTTTTTTATTTTCGTTATTTTTTTTACTTTTGGGATTTTGCTTAATTGAAACCTTAAATGTTTTTACATTACGTTCGCCTTTCAGCAAGAAAGAAAACCCAGAACATACACAAACACACACACACACACATACATATCCGAGGAGCCGGAGAATATAAAAACGTTGCATCTTCCTCTGCGACTTTTGAACTGCTGCCACACACATTCTTACTACACACACACACACACACACACATACACACACACACATACACACTCGTGGTTAATCAATCAAATTGGCATTCAACTTGTGCTTGTTGTTCAACATTTTAACGGTAATTAAGAAAAGCTATCTGTATTTCATTAAATCAAATATCTGTGAGTTTGTGGCCAATATAAAATTTAAAAGCTTAAAAAATTGTGTTAATTGCCTCGAAATTATGTTAAGTACTTAATACTTTTCTGTTAAATTTCTACTCAAAGTTTGCTGAAACCAATTTATAAAAAATTGAATTGCAATTTAAAATTTGATTGGCAAACAAGCCTAGAATTTATATAATATTTTATGAATTTGTACGTAATAATAGTATTATTTTTGTAAGAAATAATTTTCCACTCTTAACATGAAATAATATTCAAATGACGTTTGCCTTTTTATTCAATTGATTGCTTATTGATTGCTTTAATTCAAAAATTGTATTATAATTTCAACACAGCTGAAATTAATTTTAATCTCATATTTATTAAATTTTAAATGTGTGCTTGAAAAAACAATATAGATACATATGTATTCAAAACGAGCTAATTAGTGGATGCTTTTTTTTACTCCCAATGGAGTCGACATCAGAAGCTAATTGAGTCAACTCCAAAGCAGTTTGCATTTTATGGGCCAAGATGCGTCTTCGTCAGACTGATGCTAAACTCTTTGCGCAAAGGAAATTAAAATACGCGATGAGGCAGCCAATTTGTGAACACAGATACACACACACACACACATACTTACACACACACAAACGTACATTTGTTATAAAAATTCGGCTTGACATTTGCCAGCACATTAAAGCCATAATTTCACATTAAACACAGGCGTGACTGTCCCAAGGAGGCGAGTCCAATGAGGCCATGTGCCCCGGGCGCCAATTGGACGCACGCGTTGCCCGTCGAGTCGATGGTGATTATGATGTTGTCTTTGCAGCAGCAGCAGCAGCAGCAGCAGCAGCAGCAGCAG